GGGCCGCCAGTTGCCCATCCCTGATGTATATTCACTACGGCGCAGTTATTTGCATATGATATCTGTCCCGTGTAATTTTGGACAGCCATTTGATCTTTAATTTGTCTGGTGTTTTTCCAGGTATGGAGATGCAGCCATTTGTGGCCTTGGTTCTCAATAACCTTGTGGAGATCATCAACAGACCTAATACACCCAAAACTCTGCTGGAGAACACCGGTAAATTATCTGTGCAAAGTGTTGCTCTGATTTCTGTAGCTTTGACTGCAACTAATTTTTTAGCTTGAAACTTTGAAACACACTCATGTGTTTTTTTTTTTTTTGGTGAAACAGCCATTACGATTGGTCGGCTGGGATGTGTGTGTCCACAGGAAGTTGCCCCCATGTTGCCACAGTTCATTCGCCCCTGGTGAGATGTTTAATAAACCATTGCATGCCTGTTATGTGTGAACTAGTTCCGTTTTCATGCAATTTAAACTACAAAGGGTGGGATGCACCAATAAGGATTAATCTTAAATCTGGAATAAATCAAGGTTTATCCAATAATTCTGTTGCACCAATCTTTAAACCTTGTTTAAAAATAAGCAGGTTTACATTTAAACCATGATTTTGATCCTGGATTTAATTTATATTTATATTAACTTTAATTCTGTTTCTCCATAACTTTAAACTCCGATTTCAATTTCAATTAGGGATTGACCTTAAAGAGGCACTATGTAAGATTTTTTTTTATTAAAATATCCAAAAACCACTAGAACAGTGTTATATATTTTGCTGACTTGTGTACTTGCATTATCCCGCTTCGACAGCTTTCAGCTTTCTGCTTCATTCTACTACGTTAAAAAAATCATTAGCTCATCCATGAACATGATTTCTGCCTGAGTCCCGTCGGATTGCATCGGCTGTGGGGATGAAGACCACAACTCCCATGATTCCACACTCGTCACGGCGTCATCAAACTACGCCTTTGTCTATTTGTTTATTTTGAATATGCGCCCTCTAGCGGCGAAAATTACATATTGTGCCTTTAAGCTTACAGGTGAGGAGGTTTAATTGTAATAGAGTACACCTACAATTAGAGTACGTGGCTGATTAAATAAAGACAGAAACAGTGGGTGTGTTCTCAGGTCTCAGAGGTGTTTATTACAAATAAAAATGAAGATAAAAGCGCATTGATCCGGCAGAGTGTGAGAGTCGTGGCGGCCTGTAAGTTTACACCCGCTATGGAGTCTGGAATGTGGATCCGTCACTCATCTCGGTGCATCTCTGTGTCGGACAAAGAAAAGATAGGAGGAATATTTGTAGCATTTAGCGGCAGCGGTGATGATGAGGTGAGCGCCAGTGATTGCTGCCGCGCATCTCGTTTCTTGTGGCTGCTGGACTGCGATCAATAGGACAGGATGGCACAGTCATGAGCGGCGGTAGTCACTCTGCGAAACATTTTCTCTTATCTCGGTTTTGTCATAAGCTATGCTGCCATATTACTTCATTAATTGATAATATAAATATTTTTCCAGGCTTATGAAATCCATACGCGCTGCATTAATGTTTTCCTTGCCTGCTTGATCAGCCGTGTAATCTAATGGTCTCTCTACATAGCAGTTTATAAAGATGCCTGACATTTTACAAGTTTCCTTTATCGATAAGTGTTAATTTTGTCAGAGAGTGTTTGGTAGTCAATAAAGAAGAATATGGACCATTAACATTATTGCGGTTTATTTAAAATGGCGAATCCATCATGGTAGAGAAAATTAATCATAGGAGGTTTTAATCGCAGGTTAGAATTCCTAATTCCCGATTTGTTAATCTGTGTTTAAAATTAAGTAGTGCAACACAGCTTGATTTAAAATAAAACCCAGATCAACAAATCCTTGATTAGCTCTAAACTTTGCTTAATTTGCAACCCACTAAAAATCTACTAAACTTCCTTTTTTTTATTTATTTATTTTTTAAACCTAGGTGCACGTCACTTAGAAACATTCGGGACAATGAAGAGAAAGACTCCGCCTTCAGGGGCATTTGTGTAATGATTGGGGTAAATCCTGGAGGAGTCGTACAGGTGAGAGGATACAGGGGAAATCATTCAAGACCAAATCCGTTATCCAAACTAAAAACTGATTTATTATATATTTTTAATATTTATTTGATTTTATACATTTATTGGACACACCAAAATCTATGTACCCAATCATTACAATAAAATCACACTAGATATGATGAACTGTAAGACATTCACAATTTAAAGTTGATACATTTTAATTTAACATTATTGAATTTCTAATTAATCATTTAGGTTAGGTTACTTTATTCATACCCGGAGGTAAATTTGTCTTGCAGTAAAATTTAATAGTTTATAATAATTTGATAACCTTTTTACATCTAAATGTAATAACACTCATACTATGTAGCAATATCAGGAAAAAAAGCTATATAATTATTATTATTGTCATCTACTTTCATGTACTTCATTGCTACTCTAAAATAAAAATGTGTATAATTTATAATTAAAATAAATCTAAATGATAAATTGGGTTTTTAGGCTAAAAGTTCCATACTGTATAGCAATATCAAAAAATAAAAGCAATATAAATACAATAATATAATTTATGTATTATTTTCTCTATATTCTCTTATGTGCTTACTAGAGTGAAAAATAAATAAAACTAATACAATTTATTAAATTTAAATAAGAGTGGTTTGGGCTAAATGTTCCATACTGTATAACAATATCAGAAATATATAATTCATGTATAATTTTTCTCTACATTTTCTTATGTACTAACTACCATAAAATAGAAATAGTTTATTAAATCCAAAAAATAATATTAACAATGAATTGACTTTGACTTTGGCTTTAATGCAACTTTTTTGGATGCAGGACTTCATCTTTTTCTGTGACGCTGTGGCCTCCTGGGTAAATCCAAATGACGATTTGAGAGACATGTTCTACAAGGTACAAATGCTCTTCTGTAACTAACAACTTTGATTAGATGGGTTTACAGTTGGCCAAGATAGAAGCACAATTGTCTGCTATGCTTCAGCAGAATTTATCCATTTCTTGTCTAGATTTTGCACGGCTTCAAGGATCAGGTTGGTGAGGATAACTGGCAGCAGTTCTCCGAACAGTTTCCACCGCTGCTGAAGGAGAGGCTTTCAGCCTGCTATGGTGTGTAGACGCCGCCCCTGCTGACATGGGAATCAACTATTAGGTGAGAATAACCTCAATGATATATTAAAACATCAAACTAAAGCAGCTTTGGCCAATGGTTTGAACACATTTTTCTTATTTGCAGGTGAAATCTACGGGAGGGTTACTGGGGAACTCATCCATGTCTGTTTGTGGGAACTACCTGCTGTTAGAGCCAAAGACGTGTGACTGTTTGTCATCTGGAGCCATCCCGCTTCCTCCAGCTCTGTGAAAGAGGATTTGAAAGAGTTGATGTGAAATCAACATTTTTACTGTCACAGTTTGGCTTCTGACTTGCTCAGAATGGGAATGAATCCTGAAGCTCAGGGATCTTGATCGGGAGGGAGGGATCGTTCAGGCAAGATTCACCAGCTGCTTATTGGACAAAACGACGCCATTCGATAGTCCAGCCTTAGCAAAGCCTGGCTTCTCAGCTAGATGCCAAAAGCACAAACACAAAAACTGCAACAAGCGGCATACATGCATAAGGCAGACTGTGCCTAAACAAAATTTGTTTTCTTAAAGCGACAGGTCACCCGAAAATGAAAAGTTTCACCCTAATGTCACTCAAAACAAGTATATATTTTTAAGATGTTAGATGGCACAATTGCTCTTTTACGTATAACAAAAAGTGCGTGATAGCTGCTAATAGGACAAGTTATGATTTACTTAATGCAGTGTTTTCCAAATCTTCTGAAGCCATGCAAAGGTTTGTGTGAGAAACTGGCTGAAATTTAGTTATTCACTAAGTCTCATTATTATAATTTTTTTTGTGACGTACACCGCATAAGTTTTTCTTATGGAAAACTTTTATTGTACCTTTTTAAAGCTGAAGTCACTTTCCACTTTTGTGTTTCATGGAGAATTTTCATTTTTGGGTGTACTTTCACTTTAAAAGTTGTTAGTTTAACTGGTAATTATATAAGTTTTTAGGGTTGGCTAATGACAGAAGCATGCAATCATTATGACATAAGTACATATTTCTGAATTTTCTGCCTGCTTAATTACTTTCCACAGCTCCACATTACATCGAGCTATATTTTCATTCCATGAAGAAACTGCTTATTTCATTTATTGCTGATAATTCTGCTGCAGCCTGTAAAGGAACCATAATGGAATTGCTGATTTTATGATGGTCACGTAATGTTTCATACCTAGTTTTGCTTCCTCTTTTTTTTTTGCTTAACTAAAACGTGCATAGCAGGAAGGACAATGAGGTTTCTTGATAAAGTAATCCTTTTTCCTAATTGATCGCTGTAATCTGTAGTCTGTATTTAAGCATTATTATTCCTTTTGTGTTGCAAACGTCATGTTAAGATTGATCTCAGAAAGCCTGCACCAAGAATTCACTGTAGAGATTGAGTGTTTGCTTCTGCTGTTTTTAAAATAAATTCTAGGGAGTTAAATAACTAAAATGCTTAAGGAACTTTAGTTAGTGGCGTTATTGATATGCACGTTCTCTTATAAGGACTGTCTGGTTCCCCCTCAAAGATGGGAATCTAGTGAAGTTATGAAGGCCGTTTTTGTTAAGAGTAAGAATGCTTGGCTTGTGTAAGGACAATCTAATTAATTATCACATGAGGGAAACCGCTATTTCTTTAATGAACTTAAATTTAACACGGAGTATAATTTTAGCAAAGAAAACTAATCTGCGTTAATAGCATGTAATCTGGTAAGATTCTCCAGTCTACACTATGCAGTTGTCCTTTTGGACAGACTAATGAATTGTGGAAAAACGGTAATCAGAAGGGCAGTGTTAGTGAGTCCCGTTTAAGTTAAAATAGAAAAATGACATTTGATTTCAAGTGTAATGTAATTGGAAGTACTTCATTCTATGTTGATGGGGCTTAGAATTTAGAAAAGGTTTCCTAGATCTTTTCCCCGTATTTTTAGTTGTTTTGATCATGTTTTAACTGTTGTCGTGGTTTTAAATGCATGTTCATCTCTTTGAATGACAGTTGCATCTTAAGGTTTCTTCTCTCATCATTAAACACTAGCTCTGACAATCTCATTTTTAAAATGTATACTTTTTTGTAAGCTGCTCCACCCTCTAGGGTTTTTTTTTTTTTTTAACATTTAGATGTATTTCACATATTTGGTAAGCAACCCTGTTGGACATTTAATTCAAAAGAACAAGTTTAACCTTAAAAAAATGCAAAGTTGTGTGGTCACATTTTAAAATCATGCTGTATTTGTAAGTATTTAGAATTGGTTATCTAAAACTGTAAAATGGAAAATCCTCTGTTTCTAAATGATTAATGCACTTATGCATTTGCTCCTGTTACTGTAATGACAATATGCTGCCAAGCAGACCTGTGTTCCACCAATACCTTGTCTTTTTTAAGTGCTTAATATATTTTGTTTTGTGCACATGCACAAATATTTTTTTAGACTTTAAAAGTTTTTCCTTTTGCTTTCTTTTTGTTTTAAAGAATTTTATTTGATTTTATTTCGACATTTCGCGATGGAGAAATGCGTTTAGCTTATGATTTTCAGAAAGTCTGCTGAAGCATTATAAGGTTTTCCTCACCCTTCCCACTCCTCAGTTTGGGTGTTGACTTGTTTTTCACTAATCACCTTTCTTTAAATTCTTTGAATGGGGAAATAAATATTTTCTGTCAAATTAAAACAAAGATTGGTCTCTTATTTTCTCCTTTAGCCGTCTAGATGTTGGCATAATCCTAATGGTCTAGAGACAAAAACTCCCAGAAACCGTCTCAAAAAGGTGGGGGGAAAAATGTATGCAGTTTTGCACAAATGCATGAATGGTGTTATTGTTCACTTAATCACGTCACACTGAAGACTAAAGATGCTGAAAATACAGCTTTGCCACCACAGGAATAACATACACTTTATTAAAATAGAAAACCGTTATTTTAGATTGTAATATTTTGTAATATTACTCTTTTTACTGTATTTTTGCTGAAATGCAGCCTTTGGGTATGAGACTTTTTAAAAAAACATAAAAAATCTTACTGATCCTATATCAGTGTACTGATCAGATATTTGCAAAAAATAAATATTAAAATTATACATGGCTTATTAAAGTAATTACTGAGTATTTTGGTGAGCCATGTCTTCATTTGTAAGTCGCTTTGGATAAAAGTGTCTGCTAAATGACTAAATGAAATGAGTAACTTAAAATACCGCTTTTTATTTCTCCTCTTTCCTACTAGTTTCACTTCTGTTTCAGTTTTTTATAACCGTTTCTTACTATGTGTCAGTAAGTTGTTATTTTAGCATGTGTGTTTGGCTCAGTGTTATTTTTTTTTGAATTACTGATAAACTAATGTAGTTTGATTTGTATTAGTTATCT